TGAGGGAGACGAGCCGTAATGTCAAATGCGTCATCTTAACTACTAATCAAGATTTTTTTTAAGCGTTTCACCCCAAGCAAGGCGGGAAGCCACTAGGACGCAAGGAGTTACAGAAAATTTAGAGCAAGATCAGATAGGAGTGGTAGAGGAAAGGATGAGGAGAAGGATAGTGGATATGTCAAGGCAACTGGAGATGTCGATTGACATTACATTTGAATAGCTGGAGATTATAGCTCTCAGGGAAACAGGAATAGAGAAGAGAGTTCCACAGGCGAGAGGTCCGGGATATGAAGCTATTGGAGTAGAAGAGACGGCTACATTTAACAGTTTTAACAGTGAAAGGGTGAGAGCGAGATGCCAGCCTAGTTGAACGCTTAAATTCATGAAGTCTGGGAACCAGCGAATGCAGATCCTCGGAGCAATTGCCATAAAAGTATTTGTAAAAAAGACAGAGAGGCGCGACGGTGCGTCTGTGAGAGAGCGACTGTAGACGAGATGCCAGAACAGGGCCAATTATATTGCATATCCGCCTCTAGAGCCTATCAAAAACCCCGAGGCAAACAGAAGGAGATCCAGACCATATATGGCAGCAATACTCCATGCAAGGACGAATCGTTGATTTGTAGATTTGAAGGATCGATTCCGGGGAGAAAAATTTCCTGGCGCGGCACATGGAGGCAACTTTCCTTGCGGTGGACGAAGCAATTGACTCAATGTATTTGTTCCATCTCAGGTCAGCATTCAACTTGAGACCGAGCAGCCGCAGAGAGGTGCTCTCGAGAAGTTGAGCGTCAGACATTCTAATGAATGGCAGGGGAGGATCTCTGTGGTGATTAATAGAGAGCAGTTTTGTTTTTGAGGCATTGAAGTTGACCATCCAATTCCTGCCCCAGTTCACAACCGATTGGAGGTCCTTTTCGAGACGCACGGCCAAGTTAGTTTTGTCAGAGACACTAGATTTGTTTTTGAGGCAGGAGTAAATTGTAGTGTCATCCGCGTAGATGCCAACTTGGGATGCATTTAAGAATTAATTTTGATAACGCTCAAACCGGCCAACGTAAGATCACCGAAGTTAAGCAACACCGATCCTGGTCAGTACCTAGATGGGTAACAGCTAGAGAATACCAGGTGCTGTAAGCTTTTATATACTGATAGTCTAATGGATAATCGCTCGGAACTGGAAATGGTCTCTCCGATTTCCAATTCCAGTTGGATTCGACATATTAACTTATGTCCAAATAGCCTTGGGAAAAGTAATCCACCTCTTCTGCCTCCAGCTATGGGTTAATTAGTACGACTTGTAAAACTAAACAATTATTATCTCCAAAAGAAAAAGATTTTTTACAGACTAAACCAGGATTTGAACTTGACTCGTCGGGCTAATTTTTTATGCCAATAACTGCTAATAAAATATTTAACGCAAAAAAGCAATGGATTGACACGAATAATTTTCCATAACGATCACGAATTTATAACTTTTTCTAAGGGAATTTCTGCAAAAGTCAACCCATCAGAGTCCGAGATTTGAACTCGCCTTGCTGCCTTCACATTCTATGCCGATAAGTGCTTCGTTACGTACACTTCGTAAAATGTGCGTGCATTGGCGCATGAGGTTGCAAAGTGTTGGGTTGGTGCATAATTATCAGGCGTTTTGCTCTTCTGTTTACTTTTTTAATAAAAATATTATTTTATTTTCAGGTTATAAAAATGCGAAGTTAGGTTGTTTATCTCCGTTGGTAGTTGCATTATTAAAAAGAAAAATTTTGTAGTTTCATCGAATGATTTAATTTTACGGAAATATTTCGACTAGCAGTTGCCAGTCTTTGTCACTCCTTAATTTGAGTAAAAACAGTGGAAACAAATTCGAAACGCTTAAGAATTCAAATCAAAGAAAACAAACCGAGTTGACGACGTTTGCAACGCAATAGCAAGGCGAGGTGTAAAAAAAAAATAAAAAAAGGATCCCTGTCTTCTACTCCACAAACTGCATCGTTTTTTTTTGTTTTGTTTTTTTTTTTTGTTTTTGTCATATCATATTTTTCTTTGGAGCAGAGATGTCCAGACAGGATGGAGTTGTGCTGCATCCACCCTACCGTAGGCATTTTTTGTAGTTGCTATTACCATTTGTTCAGCTATTTTTCTTTGATTGAAATGCTCCTGATTCGTCAAACCTATCTCCGGATGATCGAAGTCAATTCTGTGACCCTCTGTAATGGCATGTAATGCAATCACTGAAGTTTTTTTCCAATTTTTCTTTTTCTTTATTATATAAAAATGCGTGTCATAAATACGATCCTGAATAATCATTTTAAAATCTTATTGTTAAATTGTCATGTTTCGTTTTCATAATAAATATTTTTTAAAAACGCCTGATAATTATGCACCAACCCAATATCATGGGCAAACAACCTTAAAAAAAAAAGCCTTTACCGTCCGTAATTTTTCGATTTAAAATTATTTGCATTTTTGATCTATTCGGTTGCGTCATATCTAATTTGCGTTTTGAGAGAATGTAATGACGAAGGTATTATCCTAACAACTAATCATATGTATCAGTTAAAAATACATTTGCAGGGCAATAACATACGACAAAGTTCAACCCAAAAGCAGTAGTTTTAGAAGACTAAATATCCACAACCGCCTCCCGAAATAAAATAAATATTGTGTGTGTCTGCTGTGGGATCGTCAGTTTATTATTCATTTAAAGCTTTTAAAAGCAATGAAACACTAAATATACATATATACATCCAACGGCTGCAAAATCGAGTCGAAAAGCGCGCCATGCTCGTCAATAGGTGAGTCTTGTCTACACAATCCGCCATTTTCACCTGAAATTGCTGCCATTTATTATTGCCTTTTTTGATCGCTGCAACACGCAACATGGAGATATTCTCTAATGAAAATCCGATTTAAATGATCGCCGAAAACTTTTTCACATCAAAATCTGAGGGATTCTACTCAAAAAGCATCGAAGAAGATTCCAGTAAGCGACAACAAATCATTGCAAATTTGAATAAAATTGATGAAAAAAAAAAATGAAGATCATTTATGACTCAATTTAATATGTGAGGTAAATTCCAAATTGTACTAAAAGTGTCGAAATTTCCCGATTCCTTTTGTCTGTGGAAATTTCTAGTGAAGAAAAAATATCGTCAATCGAAACAACTTCGCGTCAAATATTGTTGCTGTCGAAAAGGACAACACACCTGGATTAGGTATGTATTATAAACGCAAGCAAGTCGTTTTTCTCTCTTTCATGGCTGATCGTGAGTGTTTTCTAAAACTGATGTGTTTTTCATATATATATATAGAGAGAGAGAGAGACAGACAGACAGAGAATGGTGGACACTGAGCTCAACACTGAACAGCGATAATCTGTTTCATGCATCGCACTCAGTGTACACTTGTATATATATATATATATATATATATATATATATATATATATATATATATATATATATATATATATATATATATATACGCTCTATCTCATATATTTAGTACTTTCACCCATAAAGCATAACTTATACTTTAAAACTATATTTTTATTATATATATATGTGTGTGTCTATGTGTGTGCGTGCGTGTGTGTGTCAACGACTTCAACGTGGTGTAATAGTAGCAAGCTTGTCTTGACAGATTAATTACGACTGCTTAGTGAGTTCGATCCTCACTGGGTGATCCATACATTAGGCCTTATGCTATATTTAAGTTACGCTTGATAACTTACTATATATATATATATATATATATATATATATATATATATATATATATATATATATATATATATATATATATAGTATAGTAAGTGTTTTAAAGTATAATTTTCTTTTTTAACCGCCAGGGTTTTCAAAAAAACGTTTAATAAACAAAATATATCCTTCGACAGGGTTCGAAAATGCAGCCCCCTCATATAGGGAAACACACACACACACACACACATATATATATATATATATATATATATATATATATATATATATATATATATATATAAAATGTTTTTTTCAGGAAAAATGTTTTCTCAAGTCCCCGAACTATTACCACTTTTTCCATCATTGATGCGACCTTCCTTCTTAACCTGTTATTTGAAGTTGTGTGGAATTTCAACATCTTGATTATGTCACTACTCACTCATAATTGTTCTAGCGAGACAAGCTCACTAACCATTACACCCCGTCGAGGTGCCCTAGATTTTCCAAGCGTAGATTAGGTGTGGCACAAGTCCGAAAGTATGGGACACCCAGTGAGGATCGAACTCACTAATCAGTCGCTAACCATTACACCGCCTCGGGATGCCCGTAATGGTTATAACTAGAGTACAATATCTACTTACTGCTAAGTATTCTCCTGGTTGTAATTTGTGGGTAAAGATCTGGCCGATGGGTTATTTTTAACCCACAAGCGTTTGGTTAGAAAAAGGAGTTAGAACCTGGTGTCTGGTCTGAGCTGCAACGCTACATATTTCTACCAGAAGATTAAGTCGAGTATTAAACTTTGCTGGCTGCTCTCTGGTAAGGTATTTAGTGATCGTCGTTACAATACTCTAGACTTAGGGAGTATGACCGCATCGGCTGGCAGAACTCTTCATGAGGCCCAACAAACCTAAATAGAGGACTTGGAGCGTTAATGTATTAACGATATAGAAAAAGTGTTTGGTAGATTAGCACTTGCTATATGCAACGGTACTATTTTGCTGATGTCGTTGTAGTTTCCGTTAGAATAAATTAGAAGAATTACCTCCCAGTTATCTGCATAGAATGTGTGCTCAGCAAGGCGAGTTCAAATCTCGGACAAACCTGTAAGTATTTATTTTCTCGATATAATAATGGTTTATTGATAGTCGTAATAATTAACCCATATCCGAGGGCAGAAGAGGTGGATTTCTACCTTTTCCAAGAACATTTGCGCGTAGAAGGCGACTGAATTTTGAACTCGGCTCTCCGATTTCCACTTCCGAGACGTTATACTTTACACCACCCGCACATCCAACCTTACAGCACCTGGTATTCCTAAGCGGTCACCCATCTAGGTATTGACCAGGATCGACATTGCTTTACTTCGGTGATCGTACGAAAAACGGCGTTTCAACTTGATATAGCTGAAAGTCCAAACGTTAGTGTCAACGAAATTTATACTTAACAACCACATTAACTATATATATATATATATATATATATATATGTGTGTGTGTGTGTGTGCGTGTATGTGTGTGCGCGCGTTTGCGTGTGGATATTAAGACGCTTGCGTATATATTGATTTGTGAAGGTCAAATTTAAAGGTCAAATATCTGGTTGGATGCCTTCATTAGGTTGAAAAAATCTCTACAAGTCTAGAACCAGTAGCAAACTCTTAGCTTCAGACATGAAAGATATTCATGGATTTAAGAAAAAAAAAGCTGCTGGGATAAAATAAAATCCTATCTTGATCGACTTGGGTGTAAATCTGGAGGATTATCGAATATTTCGGGCGAATTTTCTGCACAAATTGTCGTCATAATAAATCATGTGCATTTGGCCGCTGACACTTAGAATTTTAGACTCACATATTATCAGTTGATATGGCGTCGCTGGCTTTTCTTGATTTATCGATTATTTATTTTTTCTTTATTACTTTTTTTTTGTTTTTTTATTCCAGTTGTTAATTCATCAAAAGAGAAATTAATGACACTTCCGGTCTCAGCGCACCCGACCTGCATTGTTAAGTTTTTACGGTTTTACAAGTCTCGTTTCGTTGTCATTGTATAAATTAAAAAAAAAAGAAAAAAGAAAGAAAGACTGAGAGACGGGTAAGAGAAAGAAAATGGAGAAGAAAAAAATAAAAGAAAGAAAGAAAAAAGAAAGAAAGAAAGAAAGAAAGAAAGAAAGAAAAAAAGATAGAAAGAAAGAAAGAAAGAAATTTCAAGAGATGGGTATAGGAAATAAAAAATAAAAGAACGAAATAACAATTACTTAAAAAATAAATAAGAAAAATTTTAAAAGAAAGAAAGAAAGAAAGTTACAACTGTAGTAAGCAAAACGGAGTAAATAAAATTCTCTCCAGGTCATCTGCTGATGTATTTACGCTTATCGCGGAAAGAGTTTACGAAGATAAGAATGGTAAAATTTGGGTTGTTGCTTTGGGTATCTTGAAAGCGGTGGACAGGGTTTTCTTCACAATTTAAAAGTTATGGTGTCTTCAGAAGGATTTTTAAATTTGATTCACTCTTTCTTATCTAATCAGGAAATGAAAGTTATCCTAAGCAGCAATATTTCTAAACCATTTTGCCCAGGCTTCTATCCTTAGTCTTACAAAAAATTGCAATATGAGCTCTGGTAAAAATCATGCAATGATAACAGCAAAAAATTGCAATATGAGCACTTTTAAAAAATGCTTGCTGAAAAGATTAGGTTTATAATACCCTGAAATTCATATGGCATAGTGAAGGATATATGGCATAGTGTTTAAAGTCGTTAGTTAAATCCGGTGACAGGAGTAAAAGAGAGTGAGTTCAATACCTGGTTAAGGCAGTGGAGAACTTGGAGAGGGGAATTAACAGGAGATAACTGACAACTGACTTCCATTAAACATGGCATGTGGAACTAGAACAGTCTACCCCCAGTGAGAGAAATAAAGGGTTCAGTTGAACATTCCAACTTCCTGAACAAGGCCGGAGCATACAACGGCCGAAACGTTGTAATAAAAATGGCGACAAAGATGAGGACAATAGTCTGAGTAATGTAAATAGTGTACATAATACCTCATCTCAGAAATATAGACAGATTACTCACTTTGTTTTTATTTTTCATTAACGACCTTGCTTATGGTATCAGCTCTCGGCTTGGTATCTATACTAATGACACAACCATTTGCTTCTGTCTCGATACTAAGTCTGATCAGTTCGATAAGGTCAAATTGGCGGTTGATCTAAAAATGACCTACAGTCTGTTGTTAACTGGCGCAAAGAATGGCTTGTTAATTTGAACGCCTCCAAAACAAAACTTCTCCCTGTTAATAATCTGAGAAATCCCCTTTCTGCCTTCCAATAGCATGGCTGATGCTAACCTGCAGGAGATTCGTTGGTCTTTCTTGGTTGACATAAAGTAGAAAGATTATATTGAACCCAGTGATTGGTTAGCTGCTAGGAATTTGGTTCACTCTGACGTGCAAGACTATTTTTTCTTTCTAGAATCTATCTTACATGTCCTATAGATTATATGTATATACCATTCGTCCATGCTTAGAATACTGATGCTTCCTACGGTCCGGTGTTCCCTCTATATATTTAGAGATTCTTGATAAAATCCAAAGAAGAGTCAATAATATTATTGGCCCTAATCTGGCATCTCAAATTCAGTCACCTTCCCACTGTCGTAAAGCTGCTTCCCTATGCTTTTTCTATAAATACTTTCATGGTAATTGTTCAAATGAGCTCTTCGCTATGGTATATTTTGTTTCGTTTCATGTAAATAGTTTTTATTATCATATTATAAATACTCATTGGGGCTACTTTTAAATTGTTGTTTTATTCCCCTCCGCCCACAGACATTGAATTGTACATACGGGGACTAGTTAAGATTTCAGGCAGTTTCTGAGGCAATATGGTGGATGAAGTAAGAATGGTAAGTAAGAATGTGTTGTTTTGGTGTAAGGAATATTGTTGTATGTTTGTGTAAGTGACAGAACTAATTTCAACTCGGAACTAATTTCAAAACCTTAACCCTAACCCGTAACCCTAACCCTTAGATCCGCGTTGAAATTAGTTCCGAGTTGAAATTAATTCTGCACCCCGTCTGGGTCAGTGTTTGTTGCTAGTTAAGTTTAATGTTAAGAGAGGAGAAGACAGTCCTTTTCCCTATTCCTTATTTTGGCCTTGAGCCATTTTTTGTATTTTGGCAAATAGATATGCCTCTTCGCTATGGCACCTAGACTTTATGAAGCTCAGTACTAGACTGGCAACAAGGTCTCATCAATTTACAGTTGAATTGTCTAGAGATAACCGTAAGTTCTATGCTGATAGTTTCTTCTCTCGCACTTCTCGCGTGTGAATCTCTCTTCCGGTTCCACGCTTTCCAATTAACTTTGATCACGAAAAATTTTAAATGGAATGTCAACCGCTATCTACTGTCTTCCGGATTATTCTTCAATTGTTCTCGCTCCTTAGTAATGTTCCAGTTTTCTAATTCTTTTAAACCCAATAACAGCTTGTTTTTTAGTGACTTTACTGTCTTGCTTGAGGTAAATTTCGATTAAAAAAGGGAATATATGTATCAACGCTCGTTTAGTTTGGCTGTGCTCCTGATGAAACCGGACTCATAAATAATTACATCGGTTACACAACTACATGCTTATCCAGACGTCTTACGTTACACCTATCTGATCACATCTCCATTATAACCCATTTAAATGCACACACGAATTTACCAGACACCATTAGAAACATACTAGTAAAAAACACAAATATATTACCTGCAAAAAAAGACTAAAAATAATGGAAGCTTTAATAATAAAAAAAGAAAAAGCCACCTCTTAACAATATTAACTACGAACAAAGCTACAATGTGCTAACCATATTCGGAAATTAGAAACATCTCTACCACACACTGATACATACACAGAATGCACACACTCAATTAAACTGAAAAATCGAATCATCCTTGAAAATGGCTAAAGGTATAGCCGAAAGCGCTCGGAAATATAAAACATTTGGACAGTTCTTACACACCCTTTGTCCAGAAAAGAAAGCTCTTGTTCGATCACAAGAAAAATTAAATGAAAAGCTTAACCGTAGTACCTTGTCTGTCGTTTTTAATGAAACATGCATATATATATATATATATATATATATATATATATATATATATATATATACCTTCAACGATAGATGAAATGTATTGTTGGTCATTTTTGCTTTAAAAATATATTGTTGGAAATTTTACTATAAATATGTATTGTTGGTAATTATTTATGAAAAATATATATTTATATAATTTTATAGTGTTTTGTTTTTGTTTGGGTGTTCACTATTTGCCCATATCTGGGACCCTAACATGTGCTACCACTCGGATCAGGGGGGTACCTGAGAATAACAGCAATTAAGTGGCGGTTTCACACTCCTCAAAACTTCCCGCTCAGAGGCCTTGCTGCCGGATGTAGTTTATCGTCCTACCCAATACACAAGCCTCGTTTTAGATGCGCTAGCATATCGCCCAGTCTTGTAAAAAATACCTTGAACAAAAAAAAAAGGATCTTCAGTAAAATAAATCTACAATATGGCAAGTCGATAGCTACCGTATTTGATTTGTTGTCCGAATTTCAAATTAAACATTTCAGAGTTTAAAAATGACTTTGTTTCTCTACGACAATCGTTCCCCAAACCGATCAAACGTGTTCGGCGAGAAAGTTTCTAAGCACCGTGAGAGAACTAAGAATAAAGTAATCATTTTAAAAGGTACTAAACGTAAAAGAATACATACAACGTAACAATTATGGGATAAAATATATCATCGAGATTCTGAAAAAGAGAAACAGCTCTTAATAACAAGTAATAGAGAAATGTAGGAAAACTGCTTGAAGTATTACGTATATCTACCGAACAGGTGTCTATAAAACCAAAATGGTTTCAATAAAACTGTACAGAACGAAAGCTAATGCACGACAGGTTGAATTATTTTATGAAATATTTGTCTGGCTGAGAAAAAATGGTATGTCGTTCGTTAACAACAGATTTCGAAAGACTACTTTTCTGAACAAGAAAAAGTATGACTGAAGAGGAGCGCTTCCCTAGAGGAAAAGTGACCCAACCCATACGTGAAGGAAAAGAGAAAACATTTTCTTTTTAAAAGCAGTTACCGTCTTAAACAAAGAGACGACTAGAGAGGAGCGCTTCCCTAGAGGAAAAATGACCCAACTCCTAGATGGATGAAGAATGGACATATTTGCTTTTTGAATGCAATCACCAAGTAGTGTTTTTAAAACAATCGACTGCAGAGGATTGCTTCCCGGTAGGGAAAATGACCCTACCCAGAGGTGAAAGAAAAAAAGAACATATTTTCTTTTTGGAAGCTACTGTTACTAGGCTGCTTGATGCGGCTATGTAATGGCGTTGCTGTTTTGGATGTTTA